GTCAGGAGGCCAAGATTCTAGTGCTCGTGGTCCCATTACCTGGCTGCGTAACTGACCTTCTCTGGTCCTCAGTTTTCTCAACAGGGAAATGGACCGGATGTCTGGTACAACCTGCTTTCCTCCTTCCTCTCTTGTTCCCTCGGCAGGCAGGAAGTACTGCCTCACTTCTCTGTGCCCCCTGCCTTTTGGGCATCCTTTGTCCTCATACCCGCCCGCAAGATCACTACTTCCTAGCTGTGTGACAGGGCAAGTTTCTTGCTATCTCTGTGCCTGTTTTCTCTTGTAACATAAGGGCACTTGCAGATACTAGTTCCTACCTGTCTGGGTTGTGTACGGATGAGGAGTTAACATGAGTAACACCCTAGAACTGTGTCTGGTATGGAGCAAGTGCTGTGGAAGAGCTGGCTGTCACCATTGCTGTGATTCCCACCAGAGTGGGTCTCTGAGGCCATCCCTGGCTCCTGCAGTGAGCCTGGTTCAAGGTTCCCTTACTCCTCTCGGGGTCTGTCCTGCTATGGATGTATCTCTGGGGGACTCCTGCCCCAGCCTTCTGCCTCTCAGGGTAAGAGATACAGTCTGGGACCTGCCAGGGGCCAGTTCTCACACCCAGGTATGGCAGGAGGGAAGCGAGAGGGGAGGTTGAATGCTATCTCCCACCCTGGCCTCACCTTTCAAGCCCTGGACCCCGGTCCCCCCGCTTGTCAAAGCTGTCCTTGGTCATTTACCGTCTCCCCATCCCAAGAGGAAGCGGCAGCTGACAGGGGCTGTGACACAACACAGCTCAACACCTCTCTGCTCAGATGCCTGCAATGGTTCCCAGCTCCCTCCAGGAGAAACCCAGACCCCCAGGGCCCCTGCAGAGTCCCAACCTTGCTTGGGCCAGGACCCAAGTTGGGAAGCCTATGGGCCCTTCTCAGAATAATGTTTTCAACTGAATAGAAGAAAATGCATAGGATTTTTACATGAGAAAGGAAACAGATCACATTGAAGTATAGTGTTATGTAATGATATTTATGTTTCTGGATTAACCCCTTATGTAACGCGGTCTGGTGGCAGATCTGATGACTACTGTCATGCTGAAGTCGTGATGAGTGTGCACGGTATTTTGAGGCAACTGTAACAACTGTGAAGTGATGGAAATATCTGATTCCTGGTGGTGACAATATTGCAGGCACTGCTAACGCTACCACACTTTGTCGCCTACATTCATAATTGAAGAAAACGTTCAATGTCAGTTTGAAATTACAGAAAATAAACATGCAATTTTACCATCCAAGTTCAAAGACTCCCTGAATTAACTCACAGGCCCCTTGGCCTGGGAGTGTAGATTAAAAGCCCCTGTGCATTGTCCTTTCTGCCCCCTCCTCCCTGTCTGCCCTGACCACCCTGCGGTGAACACCCTGGCTTGCTTGCTGTCTTTCCAGCATGCCCGATGTGCTGAGAGCCTTTGCACGGGCTGTTCCCTCTGCCTGGAGCTTTTCCCCCCAGACTCCTGGGGGAACAATGCCCCTGTCTTGTTCAAGCCTTTGAGCTAATGCCACCTTCTCAAGAGGCCTGCCCCAACAGGCCACCCTGATTAAGACGGCCCATCTCTCCCTGATACTCTGGTGCCCTGGCTCCCTTTCCTTACCCTATATGTTCCTTTTTCTGAAGCAGGCACCATCTTTTGACAGATCGGATCATTTTATGGTTTGTTTTTTTGTTTTTTTTTTTAGTCAGCGTGTCACTCTGTCGCCCAAGTTGGATGTAGCAGCTCACTCACAACCACCCTAGTGTCAACCCACTGGGCTCAGGCGATCCTTCCGTCTCAGCCTTCCAAGTAGCCAGAACTACAGGTGCACGCTACCATGCCTGGCTAATTTTTTGATTTATTGTAGAGACGAGGTCTCACAAAGTTGCCCAGGATGGTCTTGAACCCCTGGGCTCGGGCAGTCCTCTTGCCTTGGCCTCCCAAAGTGCTGGGATTACAGGCTTGAGCCACCACGCCCAGCCTGACAGGATCATTTTAATTGCTTATCATCTGTCTGCCTCCACTAATGTGCCAGATCCCTGGGGGATCTTTATTTTGTTCTCTGAGTTTCCAGCACTTAGAACAAGACCTGGCACATAGTAGGCCTTCAATAAATAAGTTGAAAGTGATGAATTTGTAATCTGCAAGGTGCTGTATTTAAAAAGCCATTTGACTTTGTAGGACTAAAACTGCTCTAAAAATAAAGTTTAGGAATTGTTTTAAAGGTATTTGACATAAATAAACTGAGGCTCAGAGACTCTAAGTGTCTTTTATAAAGTCACACAGCAACTAAATGGCTGGGCAGAGGCACCAACCCAGCCCAGCACGTGAACAGGGACCTAAGTAAGGAGGGACACTACCCAACCCACCATGACGAAGTACCAGTGGGGGCTTTTCAGGCTTCCCCAGGGAAGAGCGTTGACCCAGAGCTGGTTGGTGTCTGGTCACGCTGAGTGGTGACCACCTAGTCTAGCCCAGCCTCCAAGAGGCAGAGATGGCAGATGGCCTTGGTAGCTGCATGCCCTTCCCTTGGGCTTGACTTCCTCTCTGGACCCCCCTGCCCTGCAGGGTGACACATGGCTCTGGCCCGCAGCTCAGCTAAAGGTGAATGTCTCCTTGGCCACCTGCCAGGATGACCCTGAAGCAGCTCCAAGCAGGTCTATTGTGCCTCTAAAGATAGTCCCCTCCCCAGACATCAGCCATACCTGACACCTTCCCTGGAGCCCCAAGGTCAAGCTCGGGAGTGGTTCCTGAGGGCAGATGCCCTGCAGAGTGGAGGCCAACTGGCAGAGGCCTGGTTTGGTCTCTGTTTCCATCCATTTAGAGGTCCCAGCTTGGTCCGGAGGCCAGGGGGCCAGGCAGAGCCTGATTGCTGAGGCCTGAGGATGCCAGGACCAGCAGAGACATTTGGTCCTGCCAAACTCCAACCTCCACTGTCTAGGCTTCTCCAGGCCAAGGCCACCCATGAGCTCAAATACACACACACACACACACACACACACACACACGAGGCACACATTCACGTGTGTACACACTCATACACAAAGACACACATTCACGTGTGTACTCATGTACAACCTCGCTTCCACACTCACACAGTACTTGAGTGCTCACACTCATACACTCATCCATGCACACCCACACTCATGCGTGCACACCCAAACGCACGCACGCACCCAGACCCAAACAGACGCTGCCCCCGCACTGCTCACGCTGCAGCACTTCCACCCCCTCTCTCAGACAGCCTGGCCGTTCCCGCCCACCGCTGAAGAGGGGGTAGAGCCAGCCCTGTCTCCTGCATGGCTGGAAATGTAGTAGTGTGGACTCTGCACAGGGCTGCAGGCACCCCGGGGGAAGGCAACCAGCCCTGTTGTTTTGCTGATGAGAAAAAGGAGGCTCAGAAAGGGGCAACCACAGCTCTGAGGTCACCCAGAGTGACGAGGGCACATCCAGGATGAGGATTTGGGTCCCTACCTCCCAAACCAGGGCCTCTGCCCCCACACAAGCCCTACATACGGGACCTGTTTTTGGCCAAAGTAGCAAATGAATCTGTGAACGAGTGTTGGGTGTTCGGGGGTAAATTAGGGCTGGGTCAGGAGCATGTGCCAACCTCAAGGCTCTTTGATAGCTTCTACCAGCCCAGACGCTTGTCTGGGACCCCCTAGAAACATAAAGAAAGACTTGGGAGGGGGCAGGCCCAGAACTCCCTGGAAAGAGCCTCAGGTCAGAGAGCACTGGTATGGGGGTCAGGAACCTTACCTCCAGGTTTTTTTGTTTTTGTTTTTTTTGAGTTGGAGTCTCACTCTGTCGCCCAGACTGGAGTGCAGTGGCCGCTCCCGGCCACCACAGCCT